TCCCTGCAAGCTTCCAGCTTGTGACCACCTGCAGTTGTCCATTGTGTGTCTTTAAAACCTGTCCTGGTTCTTAAACTGAGATGGTCGTTGTTCCTTTACCTGTTCCTTTATGGATCTGCGCCACCCATTTCGGTGCAAAGTGATGGAAAATTTGGCTGTAAACCAGGAGATGTGTTCCTACGCCTGCACGGCACAAATCCTGCTGTCCATGGGTCCACCTGCAGCTGCTCCTTTTACTTAGTACTGATTTAATTATTGGCTCAGCTGGACACGCATGACTTGTGCTGCATGTGATGATTTAAGGACGTACGTGATTCTTTTTACAGAGAACTGGGAATGCTTTCACAGGGTGGACCAGTTTTACATTTGCCTGGCTAATGAGTTACAGGAGAGGTTTACAGAAATGGCAGCTCAGACCGAGAGAGGACACAGTACGGCGTCTGCTCTCACGGGCGTGCTGTTGCAACAGGAGAGAACAGAGCTCAAAACCACGATCGGCAACTCGGCCTCACCATCTACACGTGGCACTCTAAAAGTGCCTGTTGTTTTTCTGTTTCTAGATTTGCAAAGTATCAAGCAATACCATGCAGGAGACTGTAAACCGGTCAATCGGTATTATTTTTGCACAGAATGAAAAGGGCTGGGTCACCTGCTCTGCTCCTGAAGACCTGACAGAATCAGCAGCTTGACATAACAGGGCTGATTGGGCCTTAGAATATTTTAAATATTTTAAACCTGTAATTTAATTGATATTTGTTAAATGGACATCAGTAATAGGTATTGTGTTTCTGAAGAAATTATTTCAGACATTCTCCCTAGATATCCCTCAACTGATTACAAAGTGAAAATGGTTTGCCGGGGTTCAGAAGGGAGGTGCAGGCACAGCTCTCGTCCAGAGAAAGAACTGGGCAGCTTTGAGGCCTCCATCACCCTGGAGAAGCAGGGCTGTGCAGCCCTGCCTCAGGGCCACAGAAGAGCCCCACTGGAGTATGAAGAAGGGAACCCCAGTGCCTGACCTCAGCGTCTGCTGGGTCTGTTCTGTATGCCTAAAAACTGCTTAAAAAAACTGGGGAAAAAGTTTCCCACATGGTAAAATTGCTCATCGAATCTGGGGTCGGTTAATGTAGAACTTGGGTGGAACCAACACTGGCCAGGAGGACCTGGATTGTGAGAGTTAAGAGACTCTGCCAGTGGCGTCAGGGATTGGATCAGATTGTATTTCTTGGTCTTGCAGAACAGGACCACGCTTCACACCGATCCTTCAGACTGCAGGGGACAGGGTGGCACTCAATTGTTCTGATGAAGTCAAAAACCATCTTTAATTAAAAGCTTTAAAACTAGTGTAAACATCCTTTGTCTAGTTCTTTTAACTGCAGGGGAAAACAAATTGACTAGGAGAGAGCTGTGAGAAAGTGGTGAGAGCTGAGGCACTGGGAGAGAGAGAGGGAGGCAGTGTGGGCTAG